CGTGGTTATTTTTCCATGTTTAATGTGATATATTGTGATATATATGGTGATATATTGCGTGTTGTATGTTTATGCAGATGTTTTATTTCTCGTACTTACGTCGTCCCATTGTTTGTTGTTTTGTTTTTACCCTCTCAGCCATTTTTCAACACAGGAAACCCCACGGAGAACAAACGTTTTTCTGCGACTGGTGCAGAATAAATAAAACCAAAAGTTTCCGATGGACCAGGAACTCCACGCTGGTCCATTAGTACCAAGACACCGACTTTCTCACTTTCCAATGCAAACGAGACATTATTTATTACACTGACCTCAGCACCGGGGGCAGTTCCAAACGGGTTGATGTACCTCCGTGTCACATGAGTACTAATTATGTGGTACTAACCCAACTGGACCTCATACAGCGGTTGGGCAATTAATTAGCGACCGCGACCTCCTGGAAGTTCAAGCTCTGCTCCGTTGATGCCACGCTGCAACTTTCGCTGGGGATTTGTGGGCAGGCGGTGCTGTTTCTGAGGCCAAAGTCTTTGTTCTGCCCCCAACCCCCCCCCCCCCCGGGGGTACGCCACCAGAAAGTGTTTGCACCTTGACTGGGTTTAAATCACTGTTCCTCAGCTCTGGAGTTCTACTTTCATTCTTGGGGATTGTCGTTTCAGCCTCAGCGGTTCCGATAAAAACCTCAACCCTGATGTTTTCACCTGCCGTCGATCTGACAGCAGCCGACGTCTGGTCAGCTCTAAGGTCACCTGGTCTGTGTAGAGCGCTGTCTTTTTCTGCTCTTCCCCAAAGAACTTCATTAAAACTATTATTAGTGAAGTGAAAACATCATTTTCATCAATTTGACCCGTTGCGTCGACATGTGATAACTCTGCGGCCCTAAGAGGGCGTTGCCCCCCTATTTTGGGCACCACCACTGTCTAAAGAGTGAAAACTATTGGTTTCTGACATCATTATATGAGAGCAGTGTCTCTGAGATCTCAAACCTCAAATCTATTATTCAGATTTGGTCCTTTTTTTTTTTTTTCTAACCATGTTTCCTGGTGCCGTGTTCAGTTTTAAATGTCACATCAAATTGTCAGAATCAAAAGCAGATCGACTGAAACTGTTTGTCAGAAACGTCAGGTTTTTAAGGGGAGCTGAAAACAGAGATCCTGTAGCGCTGCGTGAAAGACACTACACTAGGTGGCAGCATTGCAGCTCATTTTATGATCAACTCCTACAGTGGTTTGTACAGATAAATAAATAAATATTACCGGTGCAGCACTTGGTGAGCAGGCGGCAGTTAACTTCCTTAACCACCAGGCTGTCACTGCCCCGCTACATCGGTATCGGTTGATATCGGAACCTGAAATTAAGTGTTCTGAAAAATTCGGCACATCGGATATCGGCGAAAAGTGACTATCGGACAGCCCTAGATGGGACGGATGGAACAGCAGTCGTTGATTTCAGCACAAACCACCGACGTCCGATCAGTTCAACTTAGTCCGACTTAATGACCAAATAACTCAACGTCTAGATCTGGTGGCTACGCAGAAAACGTCTGGTCCCGGCAGCTGTTGTTCGTCAACATGTAATAAAACCCAGTTAGACCTGGTAGAAGCTCCTCGTCTGATATGAGCTCGTCCTCGGAATCTTAAATCAAAAGGCGTGCGGACGTTCTGAGAG